GGCCATTTTTAACTTCAAAGGGAAAAGTAGTCATAATGTTACCCAAAATTGACCTCAAATGAAGGGAACAGTGATAAAGAATGGTCCAGTTGAAGAAATCTTGCTAATAATTATTTGCCACAAAAAAACCCAGCAACAATCACATGTAAAGGCTATCATGCACTGGAAGATCCTAATGCATCAGTGCTACTGTCCCTAGGTAGTGAATTTAACATCCACATGGACTGACCAAGGAAGTGGTGGCTGTTTTAATATTTAAACCGTAAATCTCACCTAATATTTGTAACTCTCTGTTTTATTAAGCCAAATTCTTCCTGGAGAAAATTGTTTAGATAAAGCAAATACTGAGCTAGTGTTCCTTTCAAACCAAAGAACAACAGGCAGGCATCAAGTAAGTTGGTGGCAGGATAATGCTGTGGGACTGCTTTGCTTTTTATGGGTTTGCACCAAGAGGAGTCTTCTACCTACATAGAAACAGGTTTTAGGATATATTAAGTAGACTAACAGTGCTTCTAAGATAACCAGTCAAATGCTTAAATATCAATCCTCTCAAAAATGTGTGCTGACATCCTAGGTTCACAACAGGATATCAAGCAATCTAAATAAGGTCAGCAGATCTGCCAAAAAGAGAGTACAAATATTGAGCCAGATTAGTGTATAAATTCTCAGCATGCTCCAAAGGGACATTTAACAAAAAATAAATAAATGGTGTATGTGTATATGTATGGATATATATCTATAGATAGATGTTTTTGATTCTATAGGCATACTTTTTACAGCTTAAAGCAGTACATTTCATGCCATAGTCCTCTAGGAACATGGATCATCATGTTCTAAAGCTGTCTTTGTCCTGCACACCTGATTTCAATTACTCATTATACTCAGCATGCCATCAATTGCAGTACAGCCCTCGTCATCATTTATTTACTTAAATCAAGTGTTCTTCATCAGGAAACAACTAAAATATGACACAGTCTGCTCGTACAGCCTTGTTTAGGGCCACATTTTCTACTGTTTGCACAGATTTGTGCTCCAAATTCTTGTTTCTGAAATTAAATTATAAAGGGGTTGTGTCCTTTCCAATAACAGCAACCTGTAAAAAAGAATGGTTTAGATGCATTAATATTAGACTGAAATAAGTGACAATTACCTCAATAAATATACTTAAATTGTTTCTGCAGTTTAAGTATATTAACAAAACTGCATTTCCCTTAAGTCTGTGAACACCATTTCATCACCGTATTTAGTATTATCCTTAGCCTTGGCAAAATTCATTATGAGTTTTTTGTTTTGTTTACATCAGTTTAATGTTTCTTGAGGAAGACTCTTTCTTAAAAAACAAAAACCCTCAGTTAATAACCATATACATCTTGTAAAGGTTTTGTTTGTTATTCGACCTTGTAAAATGTAATTATTAATGGAGGAAATTATAATTCCAGGTTCAGGTATCATAAAAAAGCTTATTTCAGGATTCTGTTTTTTTTTTTTTTTCCTGATGAAACCAGTGATGACCCTCCCACCTCCGCACAAATATACACACACACACACACACACACACACATACATACTCTCAGACATATCCATTCTAAAGAAAATGTAAATTAATTCTCATTTTCATATTTCACAGCTCATCTTCCGTGCAGATGCATGTCAATGTGACCTTAAAAATGAAAGACTAGAACAAGCTGCTATGTCATTCGCTCCTCCAGGGCCCAGCAAGCTGTTATCGGGCACCATTGTTCAATAGGGTGGCTGTATACATGTCATGTGAGATCCAGTGATATTTCTCTTTAACACAGAATGACAACCTGCTAGGGTTAGACGACCCAGAGATCAATAGGCTCTATGCACAGCTCCACTACTTCCTGAATTTAATGCAGCTCCTTTGTTTCCTGTCTTTCATGATTGGATGCACTGATTAATCCAGGTGTGTATGACCTAAGTAACTGGCCAGACACACCTGGATTAATCAGTTCGTCCAGTAATGAAAGACAGGAAACAAAGGAGCTGCATTAAATTCAGGAAGTAGTGGAGCTGTGCATAGAGCCCATTCAAACAGATTATTTCCATTCATTGTCGAAGCTGATTTACATTTAGTTACAATGTTCAACTTGTATACTGTAGTGAAAAGCTGTTCCAAAAAAAAACTGGAGCGAAAAACTATTTTCATATGTAAAAAGCTCTTAAATGAATTATGCATATAACATTCAAGAAATGCCAACCAGCAATAGTCACTTAGAAACACACTTTAAAGTCATGCTTTTACACCAGTTTTTGATGTTTTAAAAAAATTTTCTGCAAGGGAGAGAGCAGTTTTTCCAATGTAGGGTTCTTTAATGGGGATATAAGTAATAATCATCTTACAGCTGAAGATGGTATTAATTTGGACAAAGACAAATGGGTATAGGCATTACAAGTGGCCTAATGTCTAGTAAGGGCAGAGCAGATCATTTGCCAACTTAAAATCACTCAAATACGAAAATACCTACAAGCTTTAAACAAGCACTGCTCATTTAATTTTTCAAAGGTAATATTTTATTTATGAGCTGTTTTTTTAATACAATAAAATAAATTGATTTAGAATAATATATACTTGATTTGATTTTTTTTTCTGTTTTTTTCATTTGTTTAAAATTAAAGATTACTGCAACCAATACCACTTTTCATTTCCATCTAATGTAAAGGTGTCAGAGGTGAAAATGTTTAAAGCACATTGCCTAACATCTAGCTATTAAGGGTTTTGATTCAATACACCCAAACAAATATTCAGCTCATTACTGTGATGCTCAAAAACTTCATGACTAGGAGGAAATATGGTGATTATATTTTCTGATACGTGTTGGACCAGGGACACATCAAAAAGTTTCTGGGAGCTGGGCTTTGAAGAATAGCTGAGCAGGCTACGAGTTTTTAAGATGGGATCATCATAAATGAAACTGTTTTACTTCCAGGCTTCGTAATGGATGATATAGACTTAATATTTCATTATCATCATTTTTGGGATAAAAATAAAAACAACATAGAAATGAGGGCTATTAAAAAATCATTACAAAGTCACAGCTACTGAATTAATTGTTTATAATTTCTTTTTTATGTGTTGACTCCAGTCATGCTTTTATGGAGCAAGTTTTGGAAAATAAAGATAGTTAAGACAACATTATTAATAGCAAAACTGTCACTTTTTGGGTTATTCAGAATTAATTAATTCTTATCCACAACCCTGTACCTGCTCCAGAGAGGGAACGTCTATTAAATGTGTTTGAGAGCATGCACCAGCCCATTTCTTGTCGTGAATGCTCTGTTTACAAGTTGCTGTTTGGATCGCTCATACAAATTTACTCTCCAAAAGAAGATTTGCGATTTTTCCACTAATTTCTCTTATGATCCTTGGCCATTTTCGAAGAACCGCGGTGAGAAAGGCGAGGTTTAATGACTGGCTGAAACCGTAGCTCACCATACATATAAACCTGAAGGTTCGCATGCACATAAAAAGATAACTAACTAAGGGGATGAGCCTTAGGCAAACATAGTACCAGAATGATTGACAGTTAGGAGAACCACTTAGTTAGATGATCCACCCGGAAAAAAACTCCTTATCTATACCTTTAACTAATTTGAGATTTCCCATATCAAGGTACAATAGAATTCTTGACACAACTATGTTTCCATAATAGAAATAAATAGTACTTTAATTACCCGCCCTGACTTAGGCATACTAAACATTTCCTTGCTCTATTTCTCTGAAGAATTTTAGCAAAACAAGATAGTTTTGTGATCCACAAGCAACGAAGATGATCATTATCAATTAGATTTTAAACCAAAGTTGCAAAAATTATTAAATGTTTTACACATGTTTATAGTGGAGTCGGTTTTAAAATTTTGGTTTTACTTTTGGAATTTACTTTACCAGCTTTAACAGCTAAAAGCAACATAAAGCAGTTACCAAGAGTTGCAAGTAATATAATCAATTGGAGGTAGTATGACTAAATTTCTATCTCCTAATCCAAACCAAAGTGAATAAAGGAGTGATCTCCTGTTTCATGTTATCAGCACAATTCACAAATCTCATAAGTCATTTAAAATGCAAATATAGTAAGATCCATGTTACATCTTCATAGGCATATCAAACATAGCATAAACAGAAAAAACATTAGTATTACCATTCTGTATTATCCCCTCCCAGTAAATGTATGTTTTAAAAAAACAGTTTCCTTTTCTTTTCAAAATTGATACTTTCTTTTATTTTCAAAAAGCAACAGATTACACAGTTAACTTTCAGCAAATGCAATCCTAACTGAAACCGTTACTCACAGTCGGGACTTCAAAATGAAAGACTCACATACTTACACACTATCTATAATATACAAAAATGAATACATAATAAATATTAAAATGGCCACAAGAGAAAAAGAAAGTAAGTCATTTAAAACAATCAGTAAAGATCAAATGTTGGGAAAGTAGAAACAAGACAGTATGCCTTAAATGTCTTTTTTTTCCTTTTATGTTTTTTACAAATTGTGCAAGATTTCATACTAAGGCTCTGGTCTTGAAGTGAAGGTTGTCTAGCTCACACACAGTACACATCCACTGCAACACACACATCCTCTCTTCCATACACACACTCTCTCTCCCTGTGCTCGCCGCACTCTGTGGGGTGTAGCAAACCATTGCAGAATAAAAAATGGGCTACTCAGTGTATGGCCTGTGATGCTCATGGGAGTGGACCAGCTTTTAAAAAAATGGACATGCATTAAACGCTGATGTGACAAAAAAGGGGGAAAAAAACTCCCATTGCATCTACAAAAAAAAACTTTTCTTTTTCTTTTAGGACTGAATGGAAATATAAAAAGAAAGCATGACAATATCATCACCATTAAGGCAAGAACACCCGGAGTGGCATTGGCAATACTGTCACAACATGATAGTGTTTAGGTACATGAATATGATGAAACATTAAACTACATCTTCAATGTCTTTTTTTAAGCACAAGTTCTTTTTTAAAAATCAATCACTTTGTAATTCAAACCCATACATTGCTCCATCTTTTTCTCCGTAAAATCAGTTAAGAAAGTAACAATGCGAGACACTATGGACATATGGATTGTAAAACTACAAGAAATCATTTCTAGTTTTAAGTTGCAACTTCAAAAAGCACAAAATCGCAAACCCCTATCCCCCTTATGCCCACCCACCTGGTAAATGAAAAAAAGTAATCACTTACATTAAAACCATCTTATCCTCTTGTGATGGTATATCCCAACAGTCACCATGTTTTGCTTTACTTAAGGTAAAGACAGTTGTGTTGTCTGTTGAAAATTAAAGCATTCATTGTTCACGTTGAGGGAAGAAATAAAACAAAGAGAGAGGAAAAAGTTGTCCTTGCAATGCAGCTGTCAACCATCGACCAAAGAAAAAGCAACTTTACATCTTCTTATTAGTGCAACTCTTACTGTAAAACATTTCCAATGATTCCTTGAGAGGTATTGTTTCTTCGTTTTGTGTTCATTTTTTTTTCTTTTTTTGTATTTCACACATCACAGAGTAACTCATCTTCAAAATTTCCAACAAAGGAGGTTTTGTATTCATTTTGTCAAAGGAAAAATCTTAAACTTTTTGCTTTTCTGCATTGGCATGGCCTTCCACAATGTTTGTTTACTAGAACATAAACACGGGAGAAGATCCATACCTTCTCTATATTCCCATTCCATTCGGTTTCCACGTTCAGTTGGACTTTTTGACTTGATCACCCAAGCAGAGCCGCATAAACGGCAGTTCGCCCTCTACCCTCCAGGAAGGGTCGTGAATAGGAGGAGCAAGAGAAAATTGGAGGTTGAAGGGGAAGGGTGTAGAACAAGAGCTGTACAATTGGGACAAGCCCACATCAAGATAAATCAGGGTAACCAAGATGTAGATGACTAAAAACCCCAGAAAAACCATCATATAACGCAGTAGGGTTCCCTTGGTAACCTGGATTTTCTACAGTAGAGGAGGGTGGTGCTAAAGCAACGCCGAAGCTCCCTGTTGGAGAAGATGCAGATAAAAGGATTGACCCCAGCCTGGGCAAAGCTCATCCACACAGCTGCTGTAAGGTAGCCTCCGGGGACCGCAGGGCCCCTTGCAAACACACGCCAATAGCAGGCAACCAGGTAGGGCCCCCACAGAGCCAGGAAGAAAAACGTCATTATGTAGAACATCCTACTAATCCTCTTCTCCGTTTTGAACTCGTCCAGTACTAGAAGACGTCTGCGACCGGCGGCGTTGCTGTTCTGTCGGATTCCCAGCAAAGTAGGGGGGGTGGGTCCCCGGCCAAACCCGGCCAGCCAGTTGGCTGCTGCCTGCCCACTGGCACCTGGCCCGTGAAAGGTCCAGTTCTGGCTAACTGCAGGCACAAACTGGACGGGCTTCATCTTTCGGCGGTCGTGGACGAAAAAGATGAGTTTGAGGTAAACCAGCTGTGTGGCCAGGAGGATGAGCGCCAACAGTAGCATGAAGCCCAGCGAATCGTTCGCCCTGAAGGAACGGTGCTGAAACGTGCACTGATCCTCCTCCCGGATGAAGGAGTACGTCCCGACATCTAGCACCGGAGGAAAAGCCATAGCCACTGACAACGTCCACACCATGCAAATGACAGCTAAGCACGTCCAGAACGTTAGCCTCTTGGTGTAGAAGCGATGATGGGCAATCGCCAGGTAGCGGGTGACGCTTACACAGAAGAGCATAAATGCCGTGTGGAAACAGGATAGCACCCCAAGGAAGGCAATCACTTTGCAGGTCAGCGTGCCGTAGGTCCAGGCAGATCCATTCTTTACAGAGGTAAAGACAAAGGGGAAGCAGATAGCGGAGCGCAGGATATCCGAGGCACACAGGTCCAGCAGGAAATAGTAGGGTGCCCGGTGCAGACTTTTGTCCTTAACCAGCAGGATGGAGATCAGGAGATTCCCTACCACACCGACTCCAATGATGAAACCCAGGGAGGTCAATTTGAGGAATGTTGCAAGAGGAGAGACATTCTGCAAGATGGTGTGGTCCCCTGCATGGCTATAGTTCGCCATAGATGGAGGAGGGATCATAAATGTACTGGGATAGCTTCAGCCAAGTATCATGATCTAGAGGTGGCAGGGGGAGGTGTTTGATCCATTTGGTGGTGTGCTTTGAAGAGGTTTCCAGGCGTACAGGCAACCTCCTCTCTAAGGCATCCTTTGTTTCTTTGTCTCATCACACCTGGAAAGGATCCCTGAAAAACATCATCCACCCATCAGCACTGAGTCCCAAACAACTGCACATTCATAGTCAATAAAAAGGCACCAGTTTTCCTCCTAACAATAGGCTAATAATTTGTTTTACATTAAACATGATGGAGAATTAACCTGAATACAAGATGGGATGAGAATCAGAGACATGCAGCGGCTGATGCTCGATGAAAGTGACATAAATTCCCTTTCATGACGCCTCGGAATTTCCAGAACAAAAGATGGCAACAGCGCAGTCCAGCCTTTCCTGAGAAACGACGCATCTTTACGCGTCGGAAAGCAGAGTTTTACATTTGCAAAGGTTTATGTTGCATTTCCAGTCCGCCCTCCAACCCCTCCGCTTTATGAGTGAGAGGAGGGGGGTGCGTTTTCGGCGCAACTGTGAAACATAAAGACAAATGCAGACAAAAATAAGCAGCTCTTGATCACACCCAACATTTCCCCTTCGAAACAGAGGAAAGGATCTCTTTATATAAAATATACATTTACGCACAATGCAACATAAACGTTAAAGTGCCTCTATTTCTCTATCATTATCAGAGGTTAAAGGGATTATAGGGTAAACACTGCGCGCATTAACGCATCTACTGAGTCAAACCACCATTTTCCTCAGAATCTGTGTTTTATTTTGTCTTATAATTTTTCTCTCTGATGGTTCCTCTTCAAACGGATCGAAACGGATCGAAAAAAATGAAAACAATAAGCTGCCTTTTATTAATAATATGACATACTTTCGCATTGTTTACAGCTTTTTTCGGTTATAAAAGGCATTTGATTCTACTTACGCGTTTCATCTGCGTCCTCGTAATCTTTAGGCACCCGCAGCCGATAGATTTCCATCTATTGTTTTATTATTAATATAAAGAACAATCAAAGGAACGGAATAATAGTCTGTGCATCCCACTGTGAGCGGATCCGCGCCTCCATTAGACTACAATCATTTCCAAGGCTCCGCTATGAATTGGCCAGAATTGCAGCCACCAGATTAGAAGACAGGGCCACAGAAAAAAAAAAAAAAAAAGATGAGAAGACAGACATCCGATCAAACGATCAATCAAACTCCTACCTGTTGATAATCCCAAATCGTGTTCCTCTGCTTGGTTATTTACATTGCGCACGGTCGGGTTTTTTTTAGCAGTTTTTTTTTTTTCTTCTTTTTTTTCATTTAGTGCTTGGCCCCCCCTTTTTTTCCCTCCACGGCGAATATCCTACAGTAAACGGAGCGCAATGCGCATGCGCCCTGCATCCCTCCTATTTGTGATCCAAGACGCGTCTTGTCTCTTGTTGCAGCAGCAGCAACTCTGTCTCTCTGACGGTAACATCTGCTCAACAGGGCCACTGCTGGACGGTAACGCGTTACTACAGTATGGAGGGAAAGGATTATTGCCTGGATTTGATACAATGAGCAGATAAGAGGAGAAGTGATCATTACTTTAGAAGTTTAAACTAGTTTTTTTAGACCCTGTGAATTTTTTTTTATTTAAAAGATCTTTATTTTTTTACACTTTTCCCCAAACAGGATAGTGTTTTGCAAAAGTATCCTTATCCCCTTGATTTTTCAACATTTAGGTCAATCGATGAATAAAATACAGATGGGTAAAGGAAAGTATTTATTCTCTGCCCTTTTTTTTTTTTTTTATTACACAATGTTATTGCAACCATCTGGCTTCAGTAGCCACATAAATATAGTCCACCTGTGTGTCATGTAGGTTATTCTCAGTATAATTACAGCTGTGGAGGGAGAAGAAGCAGATCCACAGCCGAGGTGGAAGAATGCGAATGGATAATAATTCTTCAACTCCACAAATCCTTTCAATCAAAGGGGGGAAAATAGAAAAGAAAAAAAAAATATTTTTTTCATGAAACTGCTATATAATGTGGTATTGTCATGACTTTATGTTTTAGAGTTTTAAATATTGGTTGATTCAATTCAGTTTATTTATATAGCGCCAATTCACAACACGTCATTGGAAGACACTTCACAGTTCACCAGATCATACAGTCAAATTGATTCAAAGTTTTCTATCTAAGGAAAACCAGTTGATTGCATCGACTCATTGACTCGAATGCAATCCCTCACACCAAGCATGCTTGTAGCAACAGTGGAGAGGATAAACTCCCTCTTAACAGGAAAAAAACTCCAGCAGAACCAGGCTCAGTGTGATCGGCCATCTGCCGAGGACACCTGGGGTTCAAGTTACTGGGGTTACAATTCAATCTTAACATGACCTTTTCTCTGTAAGGCATATCTTCTACCCAATAAAATAGACTTAACACTTTATTTCCTGTCATTATTTCCCATAGCTATTATTTTTGAGTTTGTTTGTACAGCTCCAGTCAGATAGTTTTAGTCATTCTTATGTTGATTTTCCGGTTTATATGCCTGCAGTGTTCCCTCTTTAGAACATATAATTAATATCTCCTATTGTCTACGCTTCTGGAGCCATTTTCCATTCTGCAAACAACTTTCTTTTGTTTCATTTTGTAGTCCAGCTGTTTTTTTTTTTGTGCTTTACCATCTGCTTTTATCACGTTTTTTTCTTTACTTGCTTTTATTCATCTTTTTCTCATTCTATTGTGTTGTTTAATTCATGTAAAGCACTTTGAAATGTCTTTGCACTGAATTATACTATATCAATATGATTGCCTTGCCTTCCACCTTTCTCTTTGCCTTCCTCTTATTATTATTAATATCCCATTTTTATATTATTTCTACTTCAGACTCTGATAAGATATATATTATTATGGTTGTTCCTCAATCAAATTAGCTTTGCTTACATATGAGAATTTCCAGCAATCCAGTAACACAGAAAACTCCCTAATCATCACCATAAGCACATAATTTTCGAGGTGAAACCTGGTTGTGGCATTGTCATGAGTGCGTGAAACAAACAACTTCAACAATATTGTTTTCATTAAATCATGTTAAGACATTAGGCCCTATCAAAGTATAAACATTAATCTAAGTGAGAAGCCGAGGCATCACAGGACTTAAAAATTAATTTAGAGACGTTTGATTCCAGCGAGGAATTAACACAAACCAGGCCATTATTTGTAGAATTATTATTTCATCCTTTTAGGAATTTGGTTCCAACATGACATAATGTACAAGACACTGTCATTTCATGCTACTGCAAGGGTTAAATCTCGTTGCCTGGCTAGCTTTGGTGTTGCATGGGTTCCTATGTACGTGGGACATATGCATAATTCAGAAGCACTTTGCACTTGCACAGTTCATTCTGCCTGGTCAGCATAAGAAATTCATAGGATCTGATTTCTCAACCATGTACGGCAGACCTGTGATGTCACAAGCATCATAACAGTGGGGGAACAATGACTCAATCAGCCATATGCACTCACACTCAATACATGCTGGGGAGAATGCAAGGAAAACGACTTTGGATGGAGTACTGTAATGAACAGGAATTAGCTTTTATCACACATAAGGGAAATGCAAACTTGTGACTATAACCTCCATCCTGCACAAACTTTTTTTTAATCATTATTGTTGGTACAGTTAAAAAAAAACCCAGCTGACTTTTTTTTTATCAGCCTTGTTTCGTAAAATTCCAAATTCAAAAACCTTAAAGTGTCATTTATATTCCCTCAAAAACCACATATTATTGCACTTTAATTTTATGTGATAATAGTGTGAATAGGCAAAGTAGACAATAAGTTTTACATTCCTACTCTCAAATCATCAAATACTGACACTTGGCAAAATCCCAATTTAATTTTTAACTCCATCCCTCTTCCCATTGACTCTGACCAGTTTTCCCATTCCTATTAAGGAATAAAATTTACACAACATGAAGCTGCTACCTCTATGTTATGGGTTCATAATAAAGACCAGTTGGTTTACTCTAACAGGCTTTAAGAAACTCATAAAGAAAAATAAACCACTCCAGCATAGTAAACAATAGTATTTTAATAGTTTTGAATACTTAAGAGGGATTTGTTGACCTCTCCAGTGAGACATCATTTTGTAATGCTCTGCCGGAGCTCTTCAAACATTCAACAAAAATGCTCTGTTTGTATTTTTTGATTAAATATGCTTCAAATATCAAGTAAAAAATAAATTCATGTTTTTCTAGCAATATTGGGGGAAAAAACTCAACCCAAAAATATGTATCTTGCCCCAATAAAATGCCATTTGCATCGACATTAAAACATGTAAATAAAACTTAAACACTCAAAAAACATAGCCTTTCTCCAGGAAAAGGGAAAGTTGGGGATTTGGTATAGAAATAATTGAATTAACGCATACAATTAGCATTCATGGAAGTTTGATTAGGGAAGTTTATTCTTTACAAAAGGTGTAAATCAAATCTTTCAAATGAAATGTTCAATGTAAAAGCACAAAATGTAAGAAAAATGATAATTTTAGACAACGTAAGTGGAATCCGTCAAACAGTCCTTTGTTTTAAGGAAAGCAGGCAGCAGTCTTTTTGTATAAAACAGTCTGGGCCATAATCCCAATGTTGCAGTCTGCACACTTCCTGGTTGTTTCTCTCCTCCCCTCCTCGGTTTCACGTGGTTCTCCCAGCTCCTCATCTTTGGAAATATACATCAAATAAGGCACATTTCAGAGCAGAACTTGCAGGAAATGATCCGTGGTTAAAGCAGGGGGCGCATCTACCTATTGGGAAGTTTGACGCAGCATAGTGTGATTAGTTCAGGCTGTTTGATCCTCAGAGCGGCCCGTTGCGCCTCCGCGCGTACCAACCCAGGCAGGCGCAGAACCCGACCACCGTCAGGATGGTGCAGAGCAGCAGGGCCAGCGCGTCGCCCGCGTCGTAAGCCTCCGCTGCGGGGATCAAGGACAAAAACACCAGCAGTAACACCATCACTGCGCCGCCGGGAGTTCTAACTCTAGGAACCATGTTGATCACTTTCCTTATCTGTCGATGTTGACTTTCGGAAAGCAGATGCGCCTGCGTCACAGTCAGATGACAGCACAGTTTTACTTCCTGGTGCGGTCAGCCAATTGCCTCGCTTGTTCAAATGAAACAGATCATGTGGATTTTAAACGCCCATCACATATCGTCTGAATTAGAGGATATCAGGGGCGGAGCTAGATGGGGGGCCAAATCTCTGGCCACCCTTAGCCAATCTCTGGCCACCCCTACCACCAGAGGCGTAGCCAGAAAGTTTTTATAATGGTGGCAAGGCGAAAAACTATTTACACTGAGGGGTGGCTGAAAGTGGAAAGACGCCAGAACCACAGGGACAATCTACCCTGTTCCAAAAGGAAAATTAAAAAACTCAACATCCATATTATACTTTCTTTTGGTCTTTTTTCTTATTTTCTGGTGTACACATTCACAAGGAAAAAAAAACACAAAAAACAAAATCACTCTGAGTAATTTCTCTGTCCTTAGATCCTTAAAATGCTTCAGCTCACTTCAGGAAATCACAACACAGCCAAGGTGTTTTAACATTAAAAACACTGGAGATATTTTGTAATAAGGAATCTCCTCACCTTTTTGTTGTTGCGGCCACAGGCTGTGGAGTTTTTTCCATCGGTGGCCATGTTGTTTAGCTTCCAGGTCAGGGGCGAAAACACCAATTGGGTGCATATTAATAGATGCATATATTTAAACATCTGTGGTTTCTGGATAAAAAGATATAGTGAGTAAAATTCTTTCAGGTTTGACGTGTGGGGCAGACATCTTTTCAATTTTCATTACTTACCTACTTTTATTAATAATCCTTCTGCATAAAATTTATATTTAAAAGCACTAATATCTACATAAATTGATTACTTAATAAGTTTAAGTAATATAATTAATAAGCTAATAAAATAGTTTTTTATCTGTGATTTCACTGAAGACTCTTAAATTACTTGCAGAGACACATTATTCTCCCTTTACCCCATAAAACACAAAATCTAGCTCTGAAAAGAGCAGGAATTCTGTACTTATCATCTTTAATGTTAGTATATTGTTAAACACAGTGCTTTTTGTTGTCAATAAATTGTTAATATATGAAAAATTAAAATGTTTTAAATATTAACCTTGATAGTATTACTGCTGCCACCGTCAGTATTAGAGGGGA